ATATATATATATATATAATATGAGCAAAGGTGGCTGTAAAAATAAATCTGCATCGTTTATCCTTTTGATCTTTTAGTCAAAAAATGCACAAAATTCTAACCTATCATTGAAGTAAAACAATTGAAAGTGGGGGGAAAGTCTCATAATGAAATAAATGTTTTTCTTTAGTTCATGTTGGCAACAATTATTGGCACCTAATTATTGTAATGTCCTTTTACCAAGATAACAGCTTTGAGTTTTTTCCTATAATGCCTGAAGAGTTTGGAGAACACCAGACAAGAGATCAGAGACCATTCCTTCATACAGAATCACTCCAGACCCTTCAGATTCCCAGCTCCATGTTGATACTCTCTCCTCTTCAGTTTTCTAGGGTTCAGGTCAGGGAACTGGGACGGCCGGCAGAACCTTCGCTTTGTGTTCAGTGACCCATTTTTGTGTTGATTTTGATGCTCCTTTTGGATCATTGTTCTGTTGGAAGATCCAACCAAGGGCCATTATAAGGCTTTCTGACCCCAAGATTGAACTATTTTCTGCAATTCTCCAGCTGTGATCCTCGGAGAGTCTTTGGGCACTCCAACTATCTTCCTCACATTGCATTAAGATAATATAGACACAGACAATATACTGTAGGCAGATTTGTAACATTTCCTGTCGATTGGAACTTCTTAATTATTGTCCTAATGGTGGAAATGAAAATGTTCAATGCTTTAGCTATTTTCTTTTTTCTCTTTTTTTTTGTGTGACTATTTTGTGCTTTTGTGTTTCTTGACTTCATATTTTGTAAAGCTCAACAATCTGTTGCTGCACAACAGAAATCTTTGTGTTTTTTTTTTTTCATTGTGAAAAAAAAAGAATTTGGCCTTTGTGTTCCTTATATTTATATTCCTGTGAAACAGGAAGTAATGGCTGGATAATTTCATGTTCCTAGTCACCCTGGTGTGCTACAAATTGTATGGGAATACAATATGAAATATAAATACAATATACAAATATGAATGGGAATATAGATCTTTAGAGATTATACTCATACTAATTTCTAGGACTACAAATAATTGTGGAGACTGAGCCTAAACCAGCATGCAGCTGTTCTGATGAGGAGGAGAGAGACAAAAACATCAAAACATTAGGAATTATTTAATTAGTTATCATCTTTAAAAGCTTGTGCAGTTTAGCAAATTTATCTGAATACTCCCAGTTAAATAAGCACATATTGTACTCATTGAATATGAAAAACTGCCTTTTCATAAAAAAGTGTATGATGTGTCATTGTTCGCATCTCGGATGTGCATTATTTTTCAATAATAAACTGACCAGAGTCAATTATTCCGCTTACACCACGGTTACCAAACCTCAAGACATTGTTCAGATGATTTATTTCAAGAAATTCGTTAAAAACCACAAGAAAGTCAAATAGTGTGAAATAGATTGTGAAGTGCTGCTGCTCTTTCAGCTTTGTGCCGCTCCAGATCCACTGCTGCTTTAATCCAGATGTCTGCTGGTCAGGAGGCTGGGAGACAGTGTGGAGACCACATTCAGAAAGCACTGTCAACCCCAACCCAGCCGTGGAGTCCAGAGCTGCCTGCTATAGCACTCCTCTGCCTTCTGAGTCGACTCAGAGGATGAAGATCCCTGCACCTCATACGAGAGACCCGCCAAACGCTCTGCTGAAGGTCAGGCTTATTCTGAAGACATCGCTGAATTAAGTGATTTGCCGTTGAAATGTTCATTCACTGATGATGATTACAGGAACATTCTTGTAGTCGCCTGTTTTCTCATTTCTTGTGATCTTGTGATTGTTGCAGATGCGTATATAAAGGGCCCAATGCTGGGTCAAGGTGGATTCGGCTCCGTGTTTGCTGGGACCCGCAGCTCTGATGGATTGCCAGTAAGACATTTTTTTCCCTCCTTAATTCATTCAAACAGCCCTTATTCATGACACTTGTGGCAGAAACCGTATTTCATCTGTACAGAGTACGAGGTTATTGTCATAATTATCAGGTGTAATTTACTGTGGTTCATCTGTCTGCAGGTGGCCATCAAGTACGTGACTAAAGACGAGGAGCACGAGGACATGGAAGTTGTGAGTTCAGTCACATGTAAGGTTTGATACACACATAAACCCACACTCAGCCCTCTAGCGATGACTCAAGGGTCTGGGGTCTCCTCTGCCGCTGCAGGAAGGTCAGGGTCTGCTGCCGCTGGAGGTCGCGTTGATGACCCGGGTCAATTCAGCTCCTGTCTGTCCCAGTGTCCTGAAGCTGCTGGAGTGGTTTGACCATCCCGGCCACTACGTCATGATCCTGGAACGGCCGGATCCTTGCCAGGATCTCCACAGATTGTGTGAGGAGAACGGCTGTCTGGATGAGAGCCAGGCCAAGAAGGTGCTGCTGCAGCTCATCGACGCTCTCAAACACTGCGAGAGCCGCGGCGTCTTCCACCGGGACGTCAAGCCACAGAACCTGCTCATTTGCACCGATACCAGCGAGATCAAGCTGCTGGACTTTG